ATAAATCATACACTCAAATATATCTGTCATAGTCACCTAAAATATTTATTGTGCTGACTCAAACAAAAAAAATGTTTTGGATTCCTTATCATAGAAGCCTGAATAAACAGTATATTTATTAATCAACATATGGATTCTTATCTCTATTTTATGCATTGGTTCTGCAGAAAACCTACAGCTTTGAGCATATTTTAAGTCAGAGTGGAGCCTTAAGATTTATTCCAGCACCACTGCCGCATTCTTCTGAGTCGATAATCCTGACAGCTATATTTACATTGCATAAGTTTTGATTATTGAAACAGGGATCATATGGCATAAATCCAACTATTGGTCTATCTAATCAAAGAATGTATGTCATGCTAACAAGATTGGGGACTGTATCTTGAACAACAGTGGCTCTGAAAAGGACATAGGGGTCACGGTGGACAACCGTTTGAACAGGAGTTGATGGTGCAATACTGTGACTAAAAGAGCTAACACATACCTGGGATGTATAAATAGGAGAATAGTGGGTAGGAGTAAGGAAGTGGCATTAGTTCTGTATATGGTGTTAGTGAGACCATTACTGGGTGAAATCCTTGTCCCACTGAAGTCAAATGGGAGTCTTGCCATTGATTTCAATGAAGGCAGGATTTCACTTACTGTGTCTAAATCTAGTGTCCACACATTGAAAAGGATGTTGTAAAACTGGGAAGAGTTCAGAAAAGAGTCATGAGAATGAGTCAGGGTCTGCTTTATAGTGAAAGACTAAAGAATGAATCTTCATCCTTAGAGGTTTTTAAGGCCCGGCTTGACAAAGCCCTGGCTGGGATGATTTAGTGGGTGTTGGTCTTACTTTGAGCAGGGGATTGGACTAGATGACCTCCTGAGGACTCTTCCAACCGTAATATTCTATTTTTAGATTCTATGATTCTAAGCTCAAGCTATGTAGTTTATTAAAGAGAAGGTTAAGAGGTGACTTGATCACCATATATAGGTTCTCTGCGGGGAGAAGATATCTGATACTAAAAGTTTCTTCAACTTAGCCGATGAAGGCATAAAAAAGATCCAATGGCTGGATATTAAAACTAGACAAATTCAAACTAGAAGTAAGGTACACATTTTTAACAGTGAGGGTTATTAACCACTGAAGCAACTTACCAAAAGGATATAGTGGGTTCTCCAATCCTTGGAAGTCTTTAAATCAAGAATGGATGTCTTTCTAAAAGAGATGCTCCAAGTGAGACAGAAGTGATGGATTTGGAATCACTGGCTGAGATTCTCTGACCTATGTTATGCAGAAGGTCAGACTATATGATCTTAGAATCTAGAGGTAGATTGGGTACCTCCCTTGCGAAGTGGCCAACACCTGATGCTGTAAATTAATCAGTGATCAGTTTGTGCCCCAAAACTTGACTTTTGACTACCTCATTTTAGCTCTGAAATGTTCCACTGTAGTGAATGCTCCAGGATAAGCACATGTTCTGTGAAGTGTTTCTAATTTTTTTTTCAAATTTACCTTCCATCAGTTTCATTGAGTGCCCACTTGTATTCACATCACGGAGCAGTGTAAAGAGGGGGTACTAACTAGTGTTTACCTTATCCACCACAATCTTAAATACCTCACTTATTTCCCTTCTAACATTTTGTAAGACATTTATTTAAAAACTATCAACAGGCTACACTGCTAATCGAATTGCACATTTAAAAATATGTACGATCTAATTGTGCACCTGCAAGCGGCTTTATTTATTTATTTATTTATTTGTGCTGCTGTAGTGCCTAGATTGTTCTCCCTTGGGCCGAGAATCCATAAGTGGGGAAGGGACAAGGAGTTAGTGGCCCAAGGCCAGAGGGGTCCATCAGCCTTGTGCTATTGAGGAAGAGTATATAACGCAACGTTGGGAATATTGAGTCTTAGCCTTTACCTTCGCAGTGGGGATCCTGTTTAAGGGGGCTCCTTACAGCTGCTGCTAGCTTCAGAGGTACTGTCAGTGTAGCTCCACTGGAGTTCTGCTGCAGGATGCGCCCGAGACCCAGAGGTATGAGGCCTCCGTGTGAATGTACTTGGTCTTCTTTTGGTTCTGGGGATTCATCAGATCCTGGGGATTTCATGGAATTCAGGGGTGGACCCTGCTCCTTGTTGTCTGGGGGGAGCCCCTCCCTCGGGTGAGCTGACAGAATAACTGGGGAGAATTTCAGTGAGGGAATATCAGAGATTTCCTCCTATTAGTTTCCCTGCAGGAGTGTGTGGGGGGAGAGTGACATTCCCTAGTGATGTCATCCCTACTAATCTGCAGAGAACATGATAAAGTTTTTTTTAAACTAACTTAAATTATTGCAAAATATCTGACACCAAGATCACGCACTACTAAAAAAAAAAAAAATTTATTGTCCTTGTCAGTTTTGCTTTCCGTTTGAGGGAAATACAGTTCTATTTGAAGAACAAATCCTGAGCACATCTCTTCAATTTAGTCAGATTGGTCGACTTTCCACTACAGGGAAACCATATGCCAAATAAAATTAATTATGTGCATTCCACATGCTAAGCAAATACAAGTTTACTTTATTGACTAAGAGGTGAATATATATGGCTTTTGTTTTTTATTTGGTTGAAAAATTGTATTTGGCAAGCACAGTACAAATTTGAGAAAAATATTTCCTTGCATGTACTTGAAAAGTGATTTGCATTACTGGTGAGAGTAAAGTGACAAAGAGGAGGTTGGGGTTTTTGTTTTGTTTGTTTGTTTTCTTGTTAAAATACTATTTTGTTCATACATTCTATACAAAAGTAATGGAGCAGAATGCAAATCAGCCTATGACAATAGCATTGCTCCCCTCCCTCCACCCGCTGCCCCCCCCCCCCCAAAAGGCATGGAACACTGACAACTGAGCACCTGTTCTGAGTAAGCATAGTTCATACCTTTGATTCTGACCATATAAATAAATTAGTCAAATAGTGACTCATAGCATTAACTTGGGTTACGTACCTGGGAACCGTAATTTTTATGATAATCTTCTCTTTATTCTCCCTAACCCCAGGAGGAATGGTGAGGAAAGGAAACCCATTGCTTCATATCAGTTCTGGTTTTCGTTCCTTCTCAGCAATTACACAATGAAAATAAGATTCTGCTAGATAGCCTCTCTATTAATTTCTTTATTAGTGCAATTGTATTATGTATAGTGTTTGAGGTTTTTTGGAGGTGGCAAGATGGAATTAGGAAGAGGGAAGGGATGTTGGGTAGAGGCTGAATTTGAATTTTCCCATCCTTTTCTAAGCCCTGATGCTCTCCTTGCTGTTCTTTTTGTTTTAAAATCCCTTACCTTTGATGCCATGCACCCTAACCATTGACTGTCTACCAGAGAACCCGAGGGTCGCCATTTAGCAACATGAATCATCCCCTATAGGTTGAGAGTTTAGCCTTCACAATTAATTTGTAAATTCTGGTACTGTAATTCTGCAAAATATTTTAATTTGAGAAAGTCCAAATTTTAAATAAAACCTTTAAATATCTACAATCAGTTCAATAATTTAATCTCTGGGAGTAAGGGCAGAACATAACATTAATTTAAAATTCATATCCTAAAGTGCTCCAAGGATAAGATGTATAATAACACGGTTCTGTGATATTGAAATGGAGGTCTGATATAATGTTCTGTTTCATGAATTAATGTAATTAGTTAATGTTTGTTCTAGAGGGGGAACTGAGCCAGAAGCTGGAATCCAAACCCAACCGTGTGTCTGTCTGTGTGTGTGTGCACACGTGCACAAATCTGGACTTGAACTCTGATCTGAAAGTTAGGATCAGGGCCTTTTTGTACAATGGGCTGAACTGGAACCTTGAGTCTAGAGGGATTTTGAAATTCCATCCTAAACTTGCATCCAGATGTTATAGATAGAGCCTATCTCCAAAATGGGCTGATCCAGTACCTCCTAACTGGAATCTCAATATCTTAGGGTATTAAGGTGGTGGTTTCAAATCTGGGTCTCAGTTTTTCAGCTTTGGTTCATTTCTAGTTTTCCAAATGCACATATTACTACATGTTAAACATTATTCATATTACTAATTACTTTTGAATTACTTGAGATAAAATGCGAGGACACAAGAGTAGAAAGCTGTCTTCCTGCCATTGCAGTTGACAGAGGATGCCTGCTCCCTTTGAGCGCCCTACAAAAAGTCAGGGAGGGCCTGCTTTGATGGCTGTAACATAGCTTACATCTGTTCTGCGAACGAAGGGTGTGATTTCCAGCTCGTGTAGACATATTTGTACTAGCTCAGATCTGAGCTAATATGCCAGAAGTAGTGGCCATGGTAGCGGCAGCACGGCTTAGCCATGCCAACTACAAACCTGCCTGACTGGTGGGAACGCACTTGGCACAGCTAAGCCGTGCCTCCACTGCAGCTACCCATGCCACCACGGCTGCTATTTATGCTCACGCCAGCTCTTGTTGAGCTAGCATGGGTATGTGTCTGCAAGCATGGAAGCCCATCCCTAGCTCCTAGAGTAGGTAGAGCCTTAGCATGTGTATCACTGCCATCTGGGGGAGGGAGGGAAGCCAAGTAAACTTTTCCTGATGTTGCCAGAATTTTGTTCCTCAGGACTTGTGTACACTAGAAAGTGTTGTCATTTTAACTATACTGGGATGGTTAAGTGGCATAACTCTCTCAGTTATATCCGTATACAAGTGCTTATACCAGTGTAGCTTTTTTCTGTATGGGAAGCGAAGAAAGCTATGATATAATTACATCCACACTAGTGCTTATATGGGTATAACACACACACATCACACCCCTTTCCAACATAGTTATGATGATACACCTTTTCTGGCGTACACCAAGCCATGGTCTACAAATATTTGTTATTAGCAATAATTGAAAATGTACATAAAGTGTTATGAGACATTAATCTGTGGATGCAACAGTGAGTATTGCTAGTGACATCATTTGAGTTAACAACATGTGTGTGGGGTTTTTTTTAAGCCCCGTGACCTAATGTAACTTTTTTGTCTTCCCTTATAGGTTAAATGGACTAACTGGCTCTCATTCTGAGGGAACCTAATGTCTATATCTTGCTTTAAATAAATCTCTACTGTATGTCAAAAAGATTTCTCAAGTCAGGAAGCTGCTGTGAAAGCCATTGAAGCAGCATAAAAATGTGAATCTAACAAGACTCCAAACAGCTTGAGAAAGAATTTTCTACTGATCAGTTTGTAATTTAAATCCTTAACTGAAGCATGAATAATAGCTAAACTGGTTGAAGAGAGAGCTTGCTCCTTAAATAGGACTGTCAAAAAAGCAGTCACCTGAAATTTCAAAATGAGTGCATCACTGATACCAAGTGAGCCATGTTACACCCAGCTGCAGGACAACAGAAATGAAATAAAAAATAACAATGAAAGCATAATAAGTATGGGAGATACAAATGCCAACCAAATTATGACAAAGGTCAGAAGCACTGAAGGGGAGGTCAAGAGATGTGATTTGACAGCTGATCCTGGAAGTGTGCATACTGGTGGGTCAGAGAACATTACGCAGTTGGATACAGAGCAGAATAAACTTCTGGTCTTTAAGGAATCTCAGATTTGTGACATCAATGTACAAAAATTTAGGTTGCCTCCCACCATAAACAAGGAATTGGATAAAGATTACAGGACTGATGAAGTTAAGGATACTTCAAAGAAAATTCGAATTAGCCGAGGAAAAAGTCTGTCTAATTTGAAGAGCAGTGCAAATGACACCAGTTCAGGGGTTCTTTCAAAAGATGATGATGAATTTACCCGGCATATTTCTAAGGATAAAATGATCAGGACCATGGAAGCTGAAGGAATAAAAAGGCTTTCTTTGGGAAGATCAAGTAAATTTTCTACTAAAACAGAAGCATTTTCAAAAGAACGGGTGTCGTGTAAACGTTCGCTTTCTGTATCACTGGATTCCATTGATACATCACATCATTTGATTGGTGATACTGAGAAATCACAGAAAACACCAGTGGATCATTTTCTAGGTATGGTTTTTCATCCACTTGACAATACCTCAGAGGAAAATACAGTGTTTTATTCAAAACCATCTACCTCAGAAAACAAGAAAGTAAATATTCCGGAGATCCAAATGGATGTGGAAGATGTACCAAATGTTAACAGTAAAAGCACACTGCATCCTACTCACGTAGATCTAAATTTAAGTGGTAAGCCCAGTGAAGTCTCTAGTAAGTCAGAAGCACAATTAGGTCAGGGTGATAAGAGTAAAAAACTGGAGCTAAAAAATCCACCACTTGTACCATCTAAGAATATTTGTCAACAAAAAATTGAGAGAATTATGTTGGTAGAATTTCTAGGATGTCAAAGAGAAGAAAGTACATTGGTACAAGAGAAGAAAGGATGTGGAGCTGAAGTGTCCAAAATGCAAGCTCCCCAGTTTCAAGACTTTTGTAGTAAAGTAGGGGATCCGCTCTTAAACCAAGTGGTAGCCTATGCTGAGGACAGACTACTAAGTGGTAATAACACCTGCCCTGGGTTAGGAAGAGGAAGTAGTAATGATGAAAACAGGGCAGCTAATCAAGGTCGTCAGGAATACATAACAGACAAAGAAATTGGATCTGTATTTCCTCTTAGTGATGATAGCAAATCCAGTGGCAAACTGACACCTACAAGAAATAGAAACTTACTTGAAGCTGGTACAAGTTGCATTCAGACAGTTGGTGGGCATATATCTTTTCTACACAACGTTAGTCTTCCTTACAGCAAAACCATGAAAGTTAATGAGAATAAACTGATGCTAGTCAAAGGGAACACTGAAAACACCACAATGTCTGCCTCTGATCTCTCAGATCAACACAGAGTGCTTAGTACAGAAACAATGTCAAATGAACAGCCAAACAACCAGAATAATGATGTGGAAACCACAAGCTTTTCAGTTCAGAATAAAAAGACAGCTATTGCAAAGAAATATCTTTCAGATGAAGCATCAGAGAGTTATAAAATTTCAGCAAGGGCTGATGCCTTTTTCTGTGTCCCAACTTCCTTGCACCCAGTGGCAACTGTGAATGTTAATAATCAGCCCACAATTTCAAACAGCAATTTAAAGGATCTTTATTCACTTCATGTTGACAAGCTGTCACCCTCCTCAGTCCTATCTCCCATTGACAGTACCCAGTTGTTAAACATATCCCCTAAAGTGCCTATCAAGACTGCTGCCAACAGTGGAATCCCCAAACCAATCCTTGTCCATTCCAAGGGCTCCCTTACAGCCAAAGGTGATGTGGAGAGCGACGGCAGTGAAAAGCCTGAAGAAAACATAGAGATAAAACCTGCCATACCCAAACCCAAACACGTGAGACCTAAGATCATCACTTACATTAGAAGAAATCCTCAGTCTATAGACCATCTTGACCCTTCCTTTGCCTCAACTGAGCTGCCCTATGGTCCCCCTGTGTGCGGTATGCCCATGGCAAAAGAACAGCAGATACTGAGTGGTGGGGACATTAAACCATCTAACATTCTGTATGACAAATTTAAACCCGACTTGCAAAAGCCAAGAATCTATGGTTCAGGACTCGTGGTATCTGGCATTAAACCCCCAGGACATCATTTTGGTCAAATGAGTGAAAAGTTTTTACAGGAGGTAAGGAGATAACCACCTCTTTTGTATACCTATTGACGTTTGTTTGTTTGCTTGTTTCTTTGAGGAAAATAGCAGAGATTGGCTGTAAAACCTGAAAACAGTAAATCAATACTGGGATATATGTGGGCATTGTAAACAAATTTTCTTAACTGTTTCGACGAATAGTCTGTTGCTGGAAGCTGTCATTGTATTGTCACAGTGCTTCCCAGAAGCACACAGTCACCCCCTAATATTTGAAAGCTATAAATGGGAACATTGGAGAGAGAGAAAGGCCTGTCTCTTAACTCCATTGACATACATGGGTCTAGGCAAGCCTTTTGAAGAGACAGCTGAAGAAAATGGTCACTATTTGCTGGTAAACAGGGGCTTTTCCTCCTCCAGAGGAAGGTTGGCAGGTATGTCCAGCAAGAGCTCTGGACTGTTGACATGCAGTAGGACTAGAAGAGTTTGCCTCTCATTTGGATGAACCGAAAAACAGGGCCTTTCAAAGCTGCTGTAAGACAATTTATAATGTTTAGTAAAATGTTTATGTCTTGGTTCATTTTGCAGTGGACGGGCATATTAACCATTCTCTCAAAATAACAGAATTTTCATTTCCCCAGCTGTTTCTCAATGCAGTCAGAGGATAACTGAATTCCCTATGGCCCATTCAGTACCGCCTTGCCAAGATGTCTGCTTCCAGTTTGGTCACTCTGGGCAAGATCATGGTTCACCTTCTACCCCCATTGTCAGTTACAGACTGCTTCTGTGCCACTACGCCCCCTCCAGTGCAGAAGGGCAGGGGAGTGGGCAAGCAGGGGTCACAGTTGAGTCCCTGGTTAATTTGTGGGACAGCTACTTACTGCCCCTTACTTGGGACTTGTGGTACATTATGATACAGTCGTTACATGGTCACATACTATTTTTTCCACATTCCCCCACACACACTCCCAGTGCACAGGATGAAAGGTGCTCACTGTCTGAGCAGCTATTCAGTATTTTGTTTTATCCTCATTGTTCACTGTGTGGCCCTGGCCTTATTAACCACGTACAATTCAAACCCCTCTTTGAAGATGGAATTATTAATTTCTAATGAGTTTGTTGGTGGCACCCATCACCATGGTATCTGAGTGCTTCACAAATATTAATTTATTTTTGTAATACTCTCTGTCAAGTAAGGTGGTATTTTTTATTCCCATTTTACAGATGGGGAACTGAGGCACAGAAATTAAGGCCTAAGTATCCTCTAGCTTCAGGTGCTGTAACAGGGCAGTCTGTCCAGCTAAGGACAGTGGGCCCTGGGGCCAGCCAACCCTGTTCTAGAACATGGCACCTTTAATTCAGTTATTCAGGAAGAATCAGCAGACCAAGCTGGGAAGGGGGGCCAAATGCCAGAATCAGGTTACCACCTCCTGAGCATTATGAAGGACCACTCTTAGCTCAGTGGAGGGGAAGGCCAAGAGTCAGGAGAGATGACTCTGAGGGGGTAGAACCAGAATCTTGATGGGCCAGGGAGGCCTGCCAGGATTAAAGTACAGCCCCAGGAAAGAAGGGCTGTGGATACACTGTTCACAGGGGAAAGGAATTTTAGCTGATGATTAGAGCTGAAAAGACTTGAGGAAAAAGACTTTTCAGAGAGGCCAGGCTGGTATGTAGGAAGAAGTTCTAAGAAGGAAAGGTAGAACGAGCTAGAGTTTTTGAATTACGTAGCATATAGCCCAGTAGTTTAGGGTTCCCAGGGTCAAGAAGCCACAGTAGAGGTTAGGTGTGTGTTCTCCCAATGCTGTCACCCTATGAGGGGATGCAGCTACTCTTGCTAGTAAGGGGAGAGAAAGGAACTGACCAGAGCCCAGGAGGGCTGGAAGCTGAGCCCAAGAGAAGGGCCAAAGATTGTGGTATGGAACAGTCAGACCCTGTGGAGAAGGGCTCTGCCTGGCACAGGTCCGGAGTGGAAATCTGATGTTGGTGTTTTACTTTGGACTTTTGCTACCTTGGAAGGGGTTGCATTCTGTAGCCTAGCTCTAAGGCTAAGTCACCTCTATAACTGAACCTTGCTGAAGGCTTAAAGAACTAATGGAGACAAAGGGAAATCAAGGCAGGGTGACTGCAATGCCACACCATGGGGATGGGTTCTGGTAGTGCTGCCTGTCAAATTTCAAGTCCTTGCTCCAAAGCATGGAGGCCAGTAGAACCTCTCAATGAAAGGGCTATAAGAATCTTATTTTACATGGGTCATATAACATAATTTTCCCTTGTATGCAGTGTAGTTGTAGCCATGTCGGTCCCACCTTTTATTGTCTCTCAGCAACAGAAGTAGGTCCAATAAAAGATATTACCTCACCCACCTTGTCTCCATAATTTTCCCTTATCTCATTCTCAGAAAAGGTTGAACGAAATAAATAAATAAATAAACAAATCGCCAGAGCGCAGACACCCAACAAGGAAAAGCTTGTCCTGAACGTAAAGTTTATCAAATGTAAAGATTGTAAAGTCTTATAATGGAAAATGCTGGGCAATCTTAACTGTAGGCATTGCTACCAGTTCTGTTTAGAATTAGCCGTCTTGTGGAAGTTTCAGTTGCTAATTTGCACTTAACTGCTGACTTTTCAAGTGATGGAGGCACATTGGTTTATACATAGAGTGAGTAGGAGACATTTATTGCATACCATGGCATGTGAAATCAGAAGTCTAAAATTACAGGAGTTGGGAGCTTTAACAGGATATATCAGTTCATTCTTTAAAAGCAACAAACAGCTAATGCAGAATACTATAGGCCAAAACGAGCCTTGTAATCAGGTACAACTCCACTGAAGCCAATCAAATTACACCCTATCTACATTTGTCCCAAAGTACAAACCATAAAAACGGACTCAATCCACAAACAGCAATTTTGTCTCATTCAGAATAGAGCGATTGTGTGTGGAATTTTTTTTTTAAACAAACATATTTACTGTATTTGCTGAGAAATGATCAGGCAAGTCCTCCTGGATTCCATCAGAGGATTCATTTTAAATTTGTGATAATCTTTTCATGTTAGGGGGTAACCAGACAGCAAGTGTGAAAAATTGGGACGGGGTTGGGGGGTAATAGGAATCTATATAAGAAAAATACCCCAAAATCGGGACTGTCCCTATAAAATCGGGACATCTGGTCACCTTATTTCATGTCTGCAGCCCTGCTGTCTTACCTATAGAGCACTGTCAATAAAGATAACACAAGTAGTTTGAAGCCTTGGCAAAACTAACTCAGCTTATTAAAAATGCATGGTCTCTGTATTCAAAGAATTTCTCTGTTCCTTCTGTTTAGGAATTTGTTGTTGGTCTATTCACTGCCAGTTATAAACAAAATGATAGGAAGTGTATAATGCAATCTGACTGAAATATGCTGATATGAGGAGAAAAGGTAACTAAATCTTATCCAGGAAAAAAATCTCACACCTAAAAGCTTCAGTAAAACTACTACATTGATTAATTTTGAAAAATTAAGATAATTTACTTTTCATACAAGTTAGTGTGGAATCAGACATATGTAATGAAAACCTGAATTCTAAAATAGAAAAGTAGGTCATATAAATATAATACAAAGAAAGAAGAATGTTACTGAAGATTTAATGGTGGAAAACGAGGCTACATTTATGGTGAAAAATGTAGAGCAAAGATAAAATGCTCAGGCCTGGTGTACACTAGGAAATTAGGTCGGTATAACTGCATTGCTCCGGGGTGTGAAAAATCCACACCCCGTGAGTGACTCAGTTAAACTGACCTAACCCCTGGTGTAGACAGCGCTAGGTCGACAGGAGAATTCTCCCTTCAGTGAGGTGAATTACGCTGACAGAAGAACCCCCTCCTGTTGGCATAGGTTGTTCCTTTGCTGAAGTGCTACAGCAGCGCAGCTGCAGCGTTTTACGTGTGGACAAGCCCTAAATATCTACAGTATCTGTCTTATCAGAATTTCAGTATAAAATATGCAAAACCCTAAAAGATTCTAAACTGATTCTGTAATAGTTTAAGGCCAATCTTATGTATTTTGGAATGTTAAAGATGTGCTTATGAATCTGCAAGGATCAAAGCTCCTATAGTCACTGTTAAAGTGCATCCTCTAAATGCTTATAATTGCTGAAAAGATATGGGCTTGCCATATTAAATACATTGTAATTTACAGCAGAATTAATTAATCAGTAGATATTCTTCTGCATATGTGATGGCCTGAGGCTATTTTTGATTAATTTTTAAAATAAATTTAGCCCTGATTTCCAAGCCACTCCCCCCCCCCAAATAACCCCAAACCCCTAACTGGGACACACTGGAAAATATTAAAGGGTCCTTAACAGAGAATTATGATTTATATTTTAAAAGAAAAGTCTACAAAAGTTGGACTCCAACCCAGAGTGCTAATCGGGTCAATAGTGTAAATGTGTCTTAGCAAACTGTGGAGAAGTGAACATCCATAGGTATGTGACATCGCTGTCTTCTTTTATCCCAAGTCATGGAAAGCAGCCACAGCCTGAAGAGGTGGACTCAGGGCAGGTCTACACTTCAAGCGTTGCAGCTGTAGTGCTTAGTGAAGACGCTACCTAAGCTGACGGGACTCGCGGGAGAACTTCTCCCATCAGCTTAGGTACTCCACATCCCTGAGAGTTGGTAGCTATGCCAACAGGAGAAGTCCTCCCATTCACATAGCACTCTCTACACTGGGAGTTTGGTTGGTATTACTACGTCGCTCACGGGGTGGATTTCAGTTAAACTGACATAAGTTTGTAGTGTAGACCAAGCCTCAGCATGTGTGGAGCTAAGCACATATATAGGTCTTTGCAGGTTCACGGCCTTTATGTGGAGAATTTGCTCTGCTGTTGTTTGTGGGGCTGTGCCTTTCATCAGGATTCAGACAACAGCCCGTTTATTTGGGACATGAATCCTGAAAGTTTATATGAATCCTGAAAGGTTCATATGAATCCTGAAAGGTTCATGAATTGGACCACACATTTGTCAAAAATGTTTCCCTCTTTTAAGAAGCTTCAGTTTCAGGGAGCAGAAACAGCACCATGTGATTTAGGTTACCTACTACATACCATGAATAATGAATAACGAAAGCCAAAGTGAACAGTTTGTGATTAGCCTGTATGGTAATGTGTTTCATACCAAACTATCTGGCAAATGCTTATGAATAGCAAATAAATTCATAGGACTCAGGGTCATTCTGTGAACAAATAAGGCCAAGTTTCTTTGTATACCTTCATCACAATGAATGTGAACATATTAATCTCAAATGAGATTATTTTTCTGATGAAATTAGCTAAAAGTACTTTTAACTTTGTTTATAATTGTTTCATTCATCATGGTGTAAAAATTAAATTCTCCACATTCCTGTAATAAAAGACAACTTGCTCATCCAAGAAACTTTGCTCGAGATGAGTATCTTTTTTAAAAAAATAGAGCTCTGGTTTATCTTCCAATAAGGAGTATTTTAAATAACATCCAAAAAAATTCCCTTTACTCATTTTCTTGGCACATCATTCTCCATGGTCAAGGAGATTTACCTTTCAGGTGTTAATAGTGTCACTTCATTTTCACTACTTGAGGCTTTTTCTGAGAGCAAGGGTCAGTGGTGTGTTGCATTTGGCTGGGTTGTGAATGAAATTTTTATTCCATGGCTAATGATCAATGTGATCAAACCATCACATTTCGAATCTCCTCCCATGCTGATCTCAAAGCAGCAACCACAAAGAGGAGAAATTAGTCATAGTCTTTACAAGCAAATGTAAGCTCCTGGATGTGTGAGTACACTGCAGTGATATCTGTTTCATTTGTTTCTCTATAGGTTGGGAAAAGGCCTATGAAAGAAGAATTCTGTTCTCCGCCATATACCCACTATGAGGTATCCCCAAGTTTTTATCGATCTGCCATGATACTTAAACCACAGTTAGGACTGGGTGCGGTTTCCAGGTTGCCCTCTGCAAAAAGTAGGATTTTGATTGCAAGTCAAAGGTCCTCAGATAGCTGCCTCCATCAACCAGGACAAATAACAAATGCGTCCAGCCTTTATCATACTGAGGCTTCAGGTAAACTACAAACACTTCCTTTCTTTTAACTATAATCAGTAATTATTTTTTCAGACAGGCATATGACAAAATGAGCAATACCTTGGCCTGATACCAGAAAGCTCTAATATCACTCTACAAGATGCCTTTATCCAGTCTGAGGTAAGACTCTGCTGACTAAGGAGCCTGGGGCTTGTAGGAAGGTTACTGGGTCTCTTGCCAAGGAGGAAGGATCAGTTTAGTACCAGTCATTACAGTGCTTGTGTACCTGATCCTCCTCCTCCCTGTAGGTGTCTGAAATGTCTTATCCGCAATAGTTGGAGGTTAGTTACCTTCGCTGTTGTACCAGGGAAGTTAATTGAACACTTTTTACCCCATCACAAAAGTCCTTTTTAGAATTTACTATCTCATTCCACCCCCTCCCCCATAACACTGTGTTCTGTTCTGATGTGCGTCACAGTATTAAAATATGCTGGCAGAGAAGTGAAATTTACTACAGTCCTGATCTTCTGAAGGCCTGGCAAGGACCTCTTCTGTGCCAGAACATTGAACACAGCGCAAGATCAAGCAGACTAATATGAAGGGGGAGGGAGAGAACAATAGAAGAATGTGAGGGAAAGAGTCAAACACAGCAGGACAGAAATAATCCTCCTCATCATCATCAGACCTTACACAATTTATCCATAATGGCTTTCATCCTGAAGGATATCAAAGATTGTTAGAATGTGTATATATAAGATCTGGTTCACAGACCACTGAAATGCAGCCTTCTCTGGAGTGGAACATGGTAGCCACTTAACAGCATACCATACTACACAGAAATGCAGGACAAGAAGTAAAGCTGCAGTTAAAAACTCCCGAAGGCATTTAGGTAGGCAGAATGGAATATGACCCCAACATAGTGCTTAACACCGCCTCTGCCCTTGAAAAGAGTGCCGTTCGATAGTTAAAAGCACAGGTTGTCTGGATCTTAGTTTTGCATCTCATCAGAAAGTCAGTACCTCCAGCAGCACAGTGCCTCCTATCGCCATCTTGGTGAAATTGGTGCTGTATTGCCTCAGTACCTGGATTTTTTTCTCTGAGGTCCTATTTGCAAATATTGGCCAAACCCGTCTCTGCATAACTTCTGAGAATTTACAAGATCACAGAATAAGGTAGTAAAGCTGTAAGTGACACAGGAATATAGGGGGACCCGGGTGGAGGGCTAGGAAGCTAGAAACAATACTGACACTGAGTGGAGATGTAAGAGCTTGAAGGAAGGGAAGGATGAGACAGTCCTTAAAAGGTGGAAACTCAGAGACAATGTAAGTTTATGGGAGAGGCAAACACAGGGAATGGGCATGCTAACATATTTAGTCACTTATCTGATGGTTCAAATGAATGATTTTTATTCACCCTCTTCATAAATAAAATGATTTTATTCACTCTGTACTTTTCATTTTGCAGTCTCTGCTTTTGCCAGTCCATTTCTTTGTTCATTCAAGGACATGCTGTCTTCCACGTATTAGACTTGTCTAGATTATGCATTGTGTCTTACTTCATTAAAGTGGTGTTGTAGCCATGTTGGTCCCAGAATATAAGAGAGAGAAGGTAGGTGAGGTAGACACCAAAAAACATGGACTTTAACAGGGACACTGATTTTATGGCTCATTACAACAGTTTGTACCACACCACATTGCCTGCTACCTTTAATTGCCCAATTAAACAATCTGTGCATAACAATCTAAGCCCAGTTGCCCACTTCATTGCAAGTGACTGGCTCCAACACGATATGCCTTCTGCTTAACAATCTATCCCAACTTGTTTTTAGCTCAGACACTCTGGATTGAGCCTCCTCCTCTAGACCGGAAGAAGAGCTCTGTGGAGCTCAAAAGCTTGTACTTTCTACCACAAAAGTTGGTCTGATAAAATATTTTACCTCACCTACCCCATGTCTTACTGTATGGAACACCATCTGGAAATCCAAGCAGTATCTGTCTGTGCCTTGCCTCTGTTTCTTTTCTGTAATGTCATCTTAAAGTTTCTAATTGACGAGATTTATCCCTTATGAAACAGTTGGCCATTAATTATCAAGTCATATTTTTCTAGTTATTTTGTGATCTCATCACTGATTATCTCTAGGATCTTGTCTGCCATCAAGGCCAGATTTAATTCCTTCGCTCCCCATAGCTTCCTTCTTAAAGAATTTCATTACGTTTGCATCTCTCCAGCCCATTGTTATCTCACCAATTTCAAAGGTAGTATTAAAAATAACTCTTGTTGGACTGCTTACGATCTGTTGTGCCATCTCCCTCTGTATCTTGATGTGTAACCCATCTGACCTTGGCATTCCATCTGTTTTTTATTGATTTTTAAATTACACAAAACTTGTTCTGGAATGATTGCCTAATGCCTTGAGTTTTTCATTGTGTTGCCCCAGACACGTTATTTCCATTTCTGTCATCTCACCTCCAATTTCCCTTATGAACAGTGAGATGAAGAACTTGTTTAATTTTTCTGCCATATCTTGTTCCTGTGTTGTTAAGTTCTTTCCACTGTTCTCTGGTGATTCACTGGCTTTCCTTACTGATCTATTCTTTTTATTTATTACAAGTATCTTCTATTGTTTTCCTTTACTTCCTGGGCAATCCCTCTTTTATTTGCAGTATTTTCTTTCCTTAATACCCATGCAGTATTGGTTAGTATTTTTCTTTGTCATCTTTATAGTTTGTATCCTTCAGTCTTATACAACCCATTTTTCCCTTTGACAGCTTTTTGACTTCTTAAGCCATCTTTATCCGTCTTTTTTTTTTGAACCGTGTCTCTGAAAAGGAATATATTGCTTATGAAATATGCCAGAGTGACAGCATTGGAAAATGATGTCCTTTAACCGTGGAACAGGCATAATATAAGCAGTGGCAGTGTAAGCTTCCGCACAGGTTTCTAAAATATGTTTCGCTCTCTAGAACAAACTGAGGTTCAGTCTACCATTCGTGCCTATTCTACCCTTTGCTTCAGTGATTAGACTGCCAATGAAAGTATCAATTCGCAATAATTGTGAAAGTGATTCTTGTCTTGTGGACACCTCTCTATTAGAATCCGTTCTGAAACAAATATCTTCTTTCATCTAAACCGCAAGCCATCATAGAGTAAAAATTGTTTCAATTTACTTGATGGCACATATGATTTGGTAATTTGATACAGAGCTTTTACCTCTCAGTCATTTCTTAGGATCCAGCTCAGGTGAACAGTTGCTGAACCCCATTATTTTCTGATAGCCATTGAACGATTCATGTGAAATGAGCATTTGGAGTGAGTACAGTTCTCACAACTGCCTGTTTGGCTGGCTGGCTTCATTGTCACTGTGCCTCAGTGAATCACAGCTGAGAATACCAAATTCAGGACACACTGCGGAGAAAGAGGGTCCCCCAAACTGGTGGTTATTCTATCATTAGATTAGACCAAACCCAGAACAAAAGTGAACTTGTGTGTCACCACACTGGTTAACTAGAAGTCAAAACCACAGTCTCCTTGAGATTCCAGCCCTTGGCTCACCACCCAGACACTGGACTTTATGATGAGTGGTTACTGAAAACCAGTTTCATCAGAATTAGGGTCCTTCTAATCCAAGGGATCAGCCACTTAGCCAGGTCAATCTGTAACTCAGGTTTTACCCAATAATCACACTGATACCAATCGTTTAGTAACTAAAAACTAAAAAAGGTTTAATTATAAAAGAAAAGTAGAAGAGAATTATAAGTGGTTAATAGATCATATACATACAAGTGATTGCGAAGTCCTTATGTCAGGTTTGAAGCAGTTATGGAATAAACTGCAAGCTTGCAAAATTCTCTCTGGAAATGTCAGGAAAACAGATTTCAGTCCTTATTCCTTATTTAGAGTTTAGTTGTTAGAAAACCAGTCCAGGGAAATGAAGCAGGAAAAGAAGTCAAAGGGACCCCTGAAACATCTCCATTTTATATCCTCTGCCATGTGCATGGAATTTTAATGTCCCAAACAAAGCCTACAGCCCAGATACACAGAAAATTACTAGCCCAAGATGGATTCCAGGGTCACATGAGTATATCACATGCCTTTTAGGGTGTCCAAATGTCTGGATTTCGACCAGAACGCCTGGTTGAAAAGGGACCATGGCGGCTCTGGTCAGCACTGCCAACCATTAAAACTCCAGTCGGCGGGGCTGTGGGGCTAAGGCAGGCTAGTCCCTACCTATCCTGGCTCCACTCTGTGCCCCGGAAGCGGCCAGCAGGTCCAACTCCTAGGTGGGAGGGGCCTCATGGGGCTCCATGCATTCCCCCCCCCCCCCGAGCACCGGCTCCATACTCCCATTGGCCGTACTCCGTACTCCCAATGGGAGCTGTGGGGGCGGTGCCTGCGGGCGAGAGCAATGCGCAGATCTGCTTGCTGCGCCTCTGCCTAAGAGCTGGACCTGCTGGCCGCTTTAGGGGTTCAGCGCAGTCTGCTGTGCCAGGACAGGCAGGAAGCCTGCCTTAGCCCCCCCACTGCACCACTGACCGGGAGCCTCCGGAGCTAAGCCCGTGCCCCAACCGTGAGCACCAATCCCTTTCCCCAGCCCTGAGGCCCTCCGAAACCCAAAGCCCCCTCCTGTATCCTAAACCCCTCATCCCTGGCCCCACCCCAGAGCCTTCACCCCCAGACGGAGCCCTCAACCCCCCTGCACCCCAACCCCCTGCCCCAGCCCAGAACCCCCTCCCACACCCTGAATCCCTCTTCCCCACCCCAACCTGGAGCCCCCTCCTGCACCCCAAACCCCTAATCCCTGGCCCCACCCCAGAGCCCACACCCCAGACAGAGCCCTCACCCCCTCCCACACCCCAACCCCCTGCCTCAACCCATAGCCCTCTCCCACACCCTGAATCCCTCATCCCTACAGCCCCCGCCGAGAGCCCACACCCCCAGCCAGAGCCCTTGCTCTCTCTCACACCCTAACCCTCTACCCCAGTCCGGAGCCTCCTCCTGCACCCTAAGCCCCTCATTTCTGGCCCTACCCCAGAACCCGC